AGCTTTGTATGCATTAGATTTCCACCTCCCCAAGTCCTTAATCCTCTCTGCCGAGAGCCCAAGATGCACTGCAGTGGTCGCAGCCCCGATCCGGAAAGAGTGGGCAGCAAAATCGGTAGCGGGCAGACCGCAGGCGGTCAACGCCAGGCGCATCACCCTCGAAAACTGATGCCTGGCCAAGAGTGATCCATCTGCGTGAATAAACAGAGGGCCAGGACCCTTGGGTCTTAGGTAGAGGAAACGCCTCGTATCCCTAACTGGACATGGACCACTATCTTTTGCCGCTGGTAAACGCAGGAGAACCCCCTACCCTGTTGGTCTGTCTTTGAATTTCGGACCTGAATTATTAGGTCAGTCTCCGATAGGGTCAGATCACTTAAAAGGATACCCCTCTGGGAGTGGTCAGTCCCCCCTTCGCAGACGACCTCGCCTATGCGCAAGGCGCCAAAGAAGGCTATGGAATATGCGGCCGAAAATAGACGAGCTTCGTACTTTGACCAGCAGATCTCCCTTAATTTTTTGTGCATCTGGGACAGAATATCATACGTTATGGGTCTTCTCTTGTCAGAGCTGGGGGGCTGTTGCCGACGCCAACCCTCTAAAGTCTTACGCACGATAAATTGCGCACACGGGTCGGTGGCAAAAAAGGCTTTACAAAAGTAAGAAATCCCCGCGGACTGAATATTGAGAGTCCTCGGTGCCCTGCCCAGCTTCTTCAGATGGGTCAAATAGCGGAGGACTTCCCTCGTAGAGGGCACCGCGGTTCGCCCAGCGCACGGCATACTGCCGCGGAACGTTAAGAAGTCAGCCCAGGCCTTCCCATATGATCTCATTGTGGAGGGGCGACTGCACCGAATACTCCCTTCATCACTTCCTGTTCCCAAGGCTCCAGAGATGCTCCGGGAAAGACATCGATGATTGCTCCGCGTCCGGCGCTAACGAGCGGAAGCGCTCCATCTGAAAACGAGATAGAGCATCCGCGATGTCGTTATTAACCCCAGGTACGAATTTGGCGGAGAAATATATATTCTGTTCCAGGCAAAGGAGGACAAAGGACCGAAGCAAGTTTCCCACCCTGGTAGAACGCGCGGATTGCCTAGAAAGAACCGCGACCACCGCCTGGTTATCTGTATTGAAACAAACCCTATGATTACGGAACTGCTCCGCCCAAAGATGTACTGCTACCACGATAGGGAAAAATTCCAGGAAAGTAAGGTCCCGAGAAATGGGTTGGCCCTGCCAGTCAGCGGGCCATTTCTGTGCACACCACTGACCCCTGAAATAGACACCGAAACCCAATGAACCTGCAGCGTCAGAGTGAACTTGGAAATCTGCGCCCAGTGCCAAGGAATCCTGCCATAAGGATATACCGTTGTACTTGTCAAGGAATTGTAACCACATTACCAAATCTGCTTTGACTTCCTTAGATAGGCGTACCCTATGCTGCGGGGCCCTCAGGCCCGCGGATAGTCTGGCCAGACGTCCGCAAAAGGGGCGCCCTGGCGACACTACCCTGCAGGCGAAATTTAGGTGTCCCAGCAGGGATTGAATTTGCCTCAGGGTAACCTTCTTTAGAGGCAGTAACTGCTGTATGAGGGCCTTAAGAGCAAGCAGTTTGTTTTCAGGCAGCCTGGACGTCTGGGCAACGGTATCTAATTCAATACCCAGATAGACCAAAGAGGTGGCCGGACCCTCGGTTTTCTCAGCGGCTAGCGGAACCCCTAGTTCTCCAGCTAGGGCAGTGAAAGCCTCAAGGAGGGAGGAGCATCGTTGCATGGTATCTGCCACTAAAATAAAATCATCGAGGTAATGAGACACGCCCTGAGAGCCGGTTCTGAAGCGTAATGCCCAATCCAGAAATGTACTAAACGATTCAAAGGCTGAGCATGCCACAGAGCACCCCATAGGCATAGCCTTGTCGATGAAATAGGCTCCCCCAAAACTGAAACCCAACCAGCGGAAATCATCCGGGTGGACCGGAAGAAGGCGAAAGGCCGACTCGATGTCGCATTTGGCTAAGAGCGCCCCCTTCCCAAAACCGCGTATCATTTTCACTGCTTGATCGAAGGAGGCGTATTTCACTGTGCAAAGCTCCTGGGGGATCGCGTCATTGACCGAACCTCCTCTTGGGTAAGAGAGGTTGTGGATCATGCGGAACTCCCCCGGGGCCTTTTTAGGCACGATGCCGAGGGGGGACAGGTGAAGTCCCTCCAAGGGTGGGTTGAGGAAAGGGCCAGCCACCCGACCCGCTCTAATTTCTTTTTCAATCTTTTTCTTAACTATCTCTGGCCTTTCCCTAACTGATTTTTGATTTTTTGGATTCCCAGCATTGGGCGGGAAAGCTACTGGGATTCTGAAACCTTTGGAGAAGCCCTCCCACAAATATTGCGTGGCTTTGCGATCGGGGTATTGCTCGAGGAGGAGTTTTAGTGGCTGCAAACGGACGGGGGAGAAGGCCAAACCTAGGTGCTGATTACTGGCGGTTACCAGGTCCTTGGTGGGAAGATCCGGGGGCACCTCTGGTGTTATTGTGGAAGTACCCCCTGCCCCCCCGAAAGGGCTGCTGCTTGTTCTTGAAGCACGCGGATGCGGGGTGACTCCCCCAGCACCGGTCGCACTCATGCAAATACTTACATGAGGGTCTCGAACACGCGCCCCTGTTGAACTCCCAGCAGAGGCGACGTCGTTTTACCTCTATCTTACCCGCCTTGGCAGAAGCTAAATTTTTCTTATCGATGTAGGGGTTGACGTCCTCGCCCCAGTAGTTCGGGTCAGTCAGGTCCCAACGGGTGGATGGTAGGAGAGAAGCATTTCTACGAAAGTTCTCATCATATGTTAGCGCCGCTTGCTCCCCTGCGAGGGAGTGAGCCCGCCTTACGTGAGCCAGGTAGGCAACCAAATCCATGGAGCGCCGTGGATAGGCAGCGCAAACGACACCCATAAAGACCTGGTACCCGTCTAACCAGTTCTCGAAGGTGCGCTCAGCCCTGGGGGTCCTGTATCTTCCCTTGCCAGACGAGCGCCTCTTTTCACCTTTTCCCAATAGTTTAGCGGGTGGGAGCAGGGTGAACATATCCACATAGTCCCCATTGAGGATTTTATTCCTCTTCCTCTGGGACAAGTGGTTCCCCAGAATAAAATCAGTGGACTGATTGGTGGCCACCTTTACATCCTCTACCAAGGCCCCATCCTTCCAATCCAGCACCCCATTAAAAGTCTTACGATGGGAATTGGCTCGCCTCTCATGGGCCCAAAGCGGGATCCCATGATTCCCTTCACCCAAGCCCCAATAAGCATCCATGGGGCCCTCACTGTCAGAATCAGAAGAAGACGTACCCGAGTCATCCTCTGTATCGGACTGTTTACTCCTTTTCTTTTTTGAAGAGGTGTGCTTCTTCTTTGATTTCCGTTTTCCACCCTGGACCTCTGGGACAGGCGAATTTGCAGCAGTGGGCTGCTGCACTGGTGGAGCTTCCCCATGATCGTCCTCCAAGCCGGAGCCCGAACTGTCCTCGGTAGAACTGTGCTGGGGCAGCTGCTCCTGGAAAACACTAGGTATGCCTACAGCCTGTGAGGTGGCATCGCTACCCGTCCCTTTTGACGTGACTTTCCCCTTGCTGGAGCTTTTTCCCGATGCTTTTCCCCTACCAGTGCTCTGATTGGCCCTTCGAGTGATGGCTGCCTGAGCCCTAGTGTTGGGACGACCTGCGTTTTGGGTCCCCAACTGCACACTGCCCCCTGCGGCGGCTGGGACTCCTAGCTGGCCCTGGTATATGGGAGGAGTGTCTGGTATTACCTCCTGTGAGGGATCCAGGGCAGGGGCACCCAGGGGCCCGGGCCTACATTGTCTATAGAAGGTTTCAAATGCCCGGAAAAATTGAGCAAAAGCTTGAGGGTCACAGGGGATGGCCCCCATTTGCGCGCTACCATTACTTGCGCCAGGTGCGGGTTGATTTCCAGAAGTGGATGCCTGTTGGTCCCCACCAGAAGCCATGACAACTGTACACGAAACTGAGTGCAACTGGGGAACGCTACTAACAAAAGAAAGGGGGGGGCGATCCGTCAAGTTCAGTATTGACTACACCAGGAAGCAGCACGCGGAATTTGCAGAGCAAAATCTCCTATTTATTTATTTACAGTTCAGTATTGACTACACCAGGAAGCTGCACGCGGAATTTGCAGAGCAAAATCCCCTATTTATTTATTTTCAGTTCAGTATTGACTACACCAGGAAGCTGCACGCGGAATTTGCAGGCCAAAATCACTTATTATTTATTTCAGTGTTTTATCTATTGAAATTAGATCTACCAACCTTAGTTATATGAACAGGATGTGATCACTTAAGCCCTATTATGTGAAGCCCTGGTTAATATTGAATATTTCCAATAAACTAATGTAGTGATTAAATCTTGTATATTACTATCTATTTATTTATTTATTAGTTTAATTATGGGATATTTTTGTAATCGCCAAAATGATTTGATATATGATGGCTAGCAATGAATAGCTGTATTCATCCAACGGTATATGCTGCTATTATTAGGTTTATTTGTCGTTATTTGCTAATAATATGCGATAATAATATCACTATTATTTAAAAGAAATGCTAATTGCTGTAGATGCGCTGCTGTCACAGAACAGCCAAATGTACTGCAGCCAAAGTACTGCTGCTGCAAATATAAAACAAATGAAGAAGGGCGGAAAGAAGACCAGACTCCTGAGGATTGAAACTTTGAACCCCTTTTTGCTTTGTGCCCGGAACCAGCAAAAGCAGCACGAATTAGAAACTACTTCAAGGCGGTAAGCCAACACCTCCCCCAATTAGGCAAGCGGCTGCAAATACCCCCAGGGGTGCAGAAACCCAGCTGCTGCCGACCTGTGTGGGAAAGGGGGGAGCGCAACTCGTGCGAAAATGGGGGGGGCGGGATTAAGATTCAAGGTAAGACCCTCCTAAAATGGCTGCCGGGACCTCCAAAGATGGCGCCTATGCCCTTAACAAGATGGCGTTCTGGTGCTCCTCCCACGTGGACCCTACAAAGATGGCGACTGTCCCACGATCTAAAGCCTCACCTAAGATGGCGGATCCTACCAAGACTTTACCACGTGTTCCGGAAAATGGCGCAGCGAACGCTGTTGCCCTAGCAACGGTAAACTCGACCCTTGTTAAAGAGAAGCCGGCACCAGGAAAAAATAGGCAGGAAACCCTGACCCCCAGAAGAAATAAAAATAACGCACCGCTGCACACCCACAAAGAAACTAAAAGAAACAACGGTGCCAAGGGCAAACCTGTGACAAAATGCAGGAAACGACCACCCGAGAAGCAAGGGGAACCCCGAAGTCAAACCTCCAAACTGCGCGCTGCCTCCGAACGCGATCCGCCGATCGGGCTGCCGCCGCTGCGAAGCTCCGGGCACTGCGAAATGTGTACCGTGATGAAGATGTGCACCGGGATGAAGAGGCGGCTCGCGCGGCACCACAAGGGTCTTCCCGCTGCGCAAATCGGACCACCAAGGAAGCAAATTGAAATACGCGGAAGTAGCGATTCTGGCTCCTCTCCTTTTCCTTGTGAGTGCCACAGCGCGAGCGCTCACTCCGGGACTTAAAGGCTGCAGGAGAGGCGATCCAAAGGTAAGCTAAAAGGCTCCTAACGCTCCACAAGATAAATGCCGCAAAACACGAAAACTCAGCAGAAAACCTGCTCAGAAAACCTTCCACAAAAACCTTCCGAAAAAACCTGCTCCAGCTGGCGAAGGGAAAGAGGGCGGTCCCCGGGCATGCCTGGCCTTAAGTAGCCCAGGCCACGCCTCCCCAGCCCGCCGATTGGCGGGTTGGATCGCAGGCACGCCCGGGGATTCCCCTGGTCTCGCGGGGGCAAAAGCCCGCCCCCGCGCGTGTGGGAGGGGGTCGCCCGCAACCCCCTCTCCTCGCTAGTTCGGAAATGGCTTTATTAGCTCCTCACACAGGTAGAGCTACTTCTTCAAAAGTGTAGCATGGGTATGTGCAGTTGCACCCCTCTCTATCCTCCATTCAGAAAAGCGGGAGGCATTATCAAAATTTTTGACAAAAACACTCAAGGAGGGTAAGATGGAGGGTCAGTTAGGGGTGTGATCCATAGCTGTCAACCGTCCCTTATTTGGCGGGAAAGTCCCTTATCCCAGCGCCATGTCCTGCTGCTGTCCCTTATTGATGATGTCCTTTAAATTTCCTGGGTTTCAAAAGAAGCAGCTCCTCTCCCTCCCTCCCTGCCGGCCAGGGAGGAGGGAGGCTCCAACTGTGTTGCTTGGCTGCATTGCTCACCCAATAAGGAGTCTAAGAACAACTGGGGGGGGGTGGAGCTTGCATGCCTTGTGCCGATCAAATCGGCCGCTTTGCCTGGGGACTCGCCTTTGCTCAGCGCTTCCCAGCGGAGAGGTGATGGTGGTTTTCCTTGCTGCATCCCCTTTGCCGGGTTGCTGCGCTGTGGGAACCACCGCTTGAGGCTTCATTGGCTGCTGGCTGGGCTTTCTGCCTTTGGTTCGGAGGGGCTCAGAAGTTGAACATACCTGTGCTCGCAAAATCCCTTATTTTGGCTGCTGATCCCTCATTTTCGAGGCTGCTGGTCCCTTATTTTCAAATTTGTAAGTTGACAGCTATGGTGTGATCTGGGGACTCTGGAGGAAATGTGTGGTGTGGGAAGAGCCCCAAATAACTCCAAAGAGAGTCTTGGAGAGTCACATTTATCATAAGCTTCCCCGCCCCTTCTCTAAGTGAAGTTGATATTGCCTCCTGGCTACTTGGACATAGCCTAAGGGATCTGTTCCCTCATCTCTGGTGGAGTTGTGATCCTCATGCCACTGTGGAGTCTGTGCATTGTGGATCATAGAGGCTTCTCTCCTCCTGGCTGTCCTCAACTGCTAGCTGTCGGAACATGCCGGGGGGGGGGCAGGCACATGCACCCCCCAGAATGAGACAGACCTCTCCGGGCATCTTCCTGATGAAGCACAGCCCAGGACATTCACAAATCAGTCCCAGTGCGCACCAGCGACACATATCTAAATACTATCTGCACACTCACTCAGCAGAGTATAGCAGAAACGAAGTGGAGCTTTGATTTGTGCATTCTAAGTATTTATTAAGCAATATATACAGGACAAAGCAACCATGACGTTCTCTCACTTCTCCTCTGAGAGAGAGAGAGAGAGAAAACAGTACAAAAGTACAGTACAGCAGAAGAGATAAGACTGGCTTCTGTTCTCACACTTTCCAAGCCTGGAAAGTAAACACTGACATGTGGTGTAACAATCACACATCCAGCAATGGAGGAGTGAAATACTAACACCAGTATCTTTGCTCCTGGGTACCCTCTCTTCCTGCTGTGGTCAGGGCCCGCCTGCCCATGAAGCAGACTGAAGCAGCCACCTCAGACAGCAGCATCTTGTGAAACAGTGCTCCCGTGAGCATCCTGCCTGCCTCTGCTGCCTCTGTGGTCATGCAGCTATGGGAATTGTGGCTTCCGGCGAGATGTCATGAGATCTTGGGTAACTCTCGTGAGATCTCACCAGAAGCTGTCAACACGTGACTCCGGTAGGCAAGGCTGTGACTGGGGGTGGTACCCTCCCATTTCACCTTAGGTGATGAAATGGGATGGGTTGTCCCTGGTGATGGTCATGGATTATGTAGCACCAAAGGCAGCAGCAGGATGTCAGTGGTCCTGCACACCCCCAGCCTGGCGAATATTTACATCCAATTCCGAACACACAACTCCCACCCTCCAGACATGGCCACACTATTTTCAGCCTTTTAGAAGGGATTACTTTCCAGGAAAATAACTTACAGAATGGGCACGTTCAACAGCTGCACTCACACAGGCCTTTTATAGTTATTTATTATAGTTAATTAATTAATATACCGCTTAATGCCAAGATAGACCTCTAAGCAGTTTTCATAGTATAAAAAACTCATTACACAGAGATTAAAATATAAACCTCTGTAATTAATGTACATGATAAATCCTATTAAAATATAGGCATAATTAAAATATGCAATAAAATGGTCCTGTTGAAACAACACAGCAAGAAAAACAGGAGGCTCAGGTGGGAGATCAAGGGAATGTTTGTGTGACCAGGTGCATCTTCAAAAGCCAGCAGAATACCAACATGGACAATATAGTTTTGCATTTCAGCAGGGAGCGTGTTGTAAAACACCAGCACTACTAGTGAAAAGATCTATCCATCTATGTATTGCCACAAGCTAATAACTACCAGGCTGTGGCAAGACTAATGGGGTTCCACTTGTTGATCTTAATGCCCTTTCAGATAACCTGGCCCTGGTTCTTAAGGAAGAAAACAACAGATGACTTTAAGTAGTCTAATCTCTCCCACATGACAAACATGTTGTGCTTTCATTGCTCCTCTCTGCCTTGAAGGAAATGCACTCCCCAGCCCCATGTACTAGAATGACACCATCATCATGAATTTTTCCAAGGATCACAGGGTTTACAATATAAAAACCCAAAAATACATACCATAGTAACAAACAAAATCATTTACACCTCCTGCCATACGCACACAGTTTGAATGGTAATAATTGTATAATTAGCCAAATGCATGGAAGAAGAGGAATGTTTTCACCTGGTGTCAGAGGAGTCTCCTTGGGGAGAGTATTCCACAAGCAGAAGCCACCAAAGAACGGCCCGTTCTTGTGTTACTCCACCTCTTGTGGAGGAGGCACACAAAGAAGGGCCTTAGGCGTTATATATTGTTGTCATCTTAGCTGAGGGGGTAGATTAGGGTGCTTTCTACTTCAAGAAGACTACGCTCCCTCAACAATAATTCCCACCCTTAACATACAATGTGGCCAAATGTTGCACTACAGCTGAAACGTTGGGTCCAGTACACTGGTGATGTTTCCAATTGTTTCCAACTGGGCAGGGACTTTAAGTTCCTGCAAATGATGCCCATTGGTGGTGCTACATGTATCAATTAGTTTACCATTGATAGCACCACAGGGAAGCTAGTGCCACTACTGTCTGAAAAGCAACTTGTATCTTGCCTACAAAACAAACCTTACTGCAGCATCTAAAACTGCAGGTAGGAAGGCATAGCCCGGGCACCACAATTTTGGATATGAGAAGCAAACACAAAATGTTGTGAAGACAGTTGCAAACCTTTTCCTAAGGCTTGGGTCCGGAGTTCCTGTGAAATTCTCTCCTGCAGAACTTTACAGCCTTCAAAGGGTTGAAGACCCATCAAAACAGTGTGAGAACTGGCACGGTGAGCTGCAGAAGGAGGAAGAAAAACAAAAAAAACCACTTCCCTGTTTTCTACCGACTGGATCAAAATGGAAGAAACTGAGAATGGAAGGAGCCTTTCCATTTAAGGAAGGGACATTTATGATCCAAGCTATAAAATATTACTGGATTTTAAAAAATATATAGCCATTGAATTGTATAAATCAAAACCACAAAAAACAAGCTTGGGTGTGTGTGTGTGGGCACACACACACACACACACAGAGAGAGAGAGAGAGAGAGAGAGAGAGAGAGAGAGAAGGCCCCCAGTAGTAAATGCACCTTACCACAGAACCACAGGATGTGTTGATGCAGCCACATGGGTGGGCAGTGCTGAGGCCTGGTGGCTGAATGTGCCACTCCAAGCTTATCTGGTCCTCAAAACTCTCCTTGGACCACATTCCTCTTCTGGTTTGCTTTGGACTCTTGACAAGTGCTTGTGTCTTTTTAAAGTGTGTTAATGTCTCTCGCTTGCCTGGAAGGGCAATGGTCAGAGGTGTGTATATATGCAGAAACCTCTGCCCTGGCATGCCACTCTGCCAAGTTTTGCTTCTGGTCCTGCCCATGAAATAATGTGGCCCTCAGGTTGAAAAGGGGGGACACGCAGCAAAGGATTAGTTTGGTTTGTGCTTTGGTCTCTCTAAGGCATCTGTGGACTTGCCCCATTATGTCACATTGTTACCATCTTATACACACAAATGAATTATATCAGTTTATGTTGGCTTCCCTTGGATTTTCGATATACACCTGTGTGTGCCTAACTTTAAAAAAATAACACAATTTACCAGCAGAGGGCAGTGGACTATAAGCAATAAAGTGATGGGGATAAAAAAAAAAAGCCTGTATTTTCCAGAACCAAACTAGATATTTAGAAGCAGTGCTTATAAGAATTTTAGGATGCTGGTAGTATGATTTTGATTTTTTGACTGAATTATATTTTTTTGAGTGAACTGCATTTAATCATCTTGTAGAGGTATATTTTTTTAATTTTTAATTTGCTTTCTGATATTAGAGGCTTTTCCCACTGGCAAAATTTACTTAGAAGAGAATGCTAAACTTGGTTTGCAGTCACTGGAGGTGCAGTTCTCAGCAGGCATAGTGGAACAGTTTGTTAGATTCCAGCTCAGAAAATACTCTGTGAATTTAAGAGCACAGGAAAAATAAGAGCCATAGATACATGTAAAAAGGTCCTTGCTATCTCCAGATAGGACTGGTACAGACCCCTGCCTGAAATCCTGAAGAGTTGCTGTGAATTGATCCTAATATCCCCATTTCCCCCCTATGCGAGTTTGCCTATTATTCCATTTTTTTAATGTACAATTTACTCTAGTATAT